CTAGCTCTGCCTGTAGGGTGTCTAGTTCCTCTCTCTCCTTCCATCTCCAGGAAGATCAAAGTGTGGGATCTGCAAGCGGCCCTGGACCCCCGTGCCCCAGCCAGCACCCTGTGTCTGCGCACGCTGGTGGTGAGTCCGCCTGTGTCTGGTCATCAATCCAGCTTCTTCTGGAAAGAATCCAGGGTATCGGCTTCAACAGTAGGGCTGAGCAGTTTGAACCATACCCCCACCGCCCTTTGTGTAAAGAAGTGCAATGCAGTTTTCTGCTTTAATGTCTCTTCCCTGTCTTTTCCACTGGTGTCCTCTGGGTTATGTCAGCAGACTCTCCGTGCCCTGGCAGTGTGGGGGTACGAGCTGACTCTCCGTGCCCTGTTGGGTGGAGGGGGAGGTGTGGGTGGGACTGACTGGTTGGGTGGAGGGGAGGTGTGGGTGGGGTGGGCTGACTGGTTGGGTGGGGAGGGTGACGTGGGTGAGGCCTGAGGTTCTGCAGTGGTCACTCTCACCACAGGCAGGTCTGATCTATGTCCCCCTCTCTCCTCATCAGCGTGTGGGACGTGAATTCGGGGGAGGTGTTGAACACCCTGATCCACCACAACGAGGCGGTGCTGCACCTGCGCTTCAGTAACGGGCTGATGGTGACCTGCTCCAAGGACCGCTCCATCGCCGTGTGGGACATGGCCTCTCCCACCGACATCAGCCTGCGCCGCGTGCTGGTGGGCCACCGCGCCGCCGTCAACGTGGTGGACTTCGACGACAAGTACATCGTGTCTGCTTCGGGGGACAGGACCATCAAGGTACTGGGGTACAGGGACAGGGGTCGGGGGTACAGGAGCTTCAGGGTACAGGGACAGGGTGGAATAGGAACATCAAGATGCTGGGGTACAGGACCTTCAGGGTTCTGGGGGTACAAGGACAGGGTGGAATAGGACCTTCAGAGTACTGGGGTACAGGACCTTCAGGGTGCTGGGGTACAGGGACATGGGTACAAGACCTTCAGGGTACAGGTACAGGGTGGAATAGGACCAACAAGATTCTGGGGTACAGGACCTTCAGGGTACAGGGACAGGGTGGAATAGGACCAACAAGATGCTGGGGTACAGGACCTTCAGGGTGCTGGGGTACAGGGACATGGGTACAAGACCTTCAGGGGTGGAATAGGACCAACAAGATTCTGGGGTACAGGACCTTCAGGGTACAGGTACAGGGTGGAGTAGGACCAACAAGATGCTGGGATATAGGGACAGGGGTCGGGGGTAAAGGACCTTCAAGGTACCAGGGTTCATGGACGGGGCGTCAGGGGTACAGGACCTTCAAGGTACCGAGGTACTGGGACAAGAGGGGAACAGGGACAGAGGATCAGGACTGTCAAGAACGGGAGGGAGTCAGGACCACTGCGATACCTGGGGAGGTGGGTCAGAGGAAGGGGGCGAAGGGAGCGAGTTCCCTGGTGAAGAATGGGCTCACTCGGTCAGGTTCTGGGGGGGTTGTGGCTGCGAGGGCGAGGTGAGGTGCTTGATGTGGTGGTTTGCTCCCTCAGGTGTGGAGCACCAGCACGTGTGAGTTTGTGCGCACTCTGAACGGACACAAGCGAGGCATCGCGTGCTTGCAGTACCGTGACCGGCTGGTGGTCAGCGGCTCCTCGGACAACACCATCCGGTCAGTGTGTCCCTCTGCGTCACGTAGATAGTGGACGGTCCCTCACGCTCTGTGTACAGGGCCCTGATGGACGGGGTGGACGGTCCCTCACTCTCTGTCTCTGCAGGCTGTGGGATATCGAGTGTGGGGCCTGTCTTCGGGTACTGGAGGGCCATGAAGAGCTGGTTCGCTGTATTCGCTTCGACAACAAGAGGATCGTCAGCGGAGCCTACGACGGGTGAGCATCGCACACACGCACACACACCACCTCCTGACGCACACACACACACCGCCTCCTGAGGCTGACGGCCCGCAGGCTCTGACCACACACACACACAGCGCCTCCTGAGGCTGATGCACCGCAGGCTCTGACCCCCGACAGCACATTTGCTGGCTCCCTGGTCCTCACCTTGACTCAC